CCCCGACACCATTTTCTCCAGAACCTTGTTTTAGTGGATGGTCTGGTTGGGTGAACAAACATTCACCAAACCCTTCCCTTGGTGAATATGAAAAACTGACTGATACTGAACTGAACAACTTCTGTCCGGGAGGCAAGATTTCTGATATTGAGTGCAAGACTAACAGCTCTCAAAATAATGTTGCTACTCTACCAATAGCAAATTGCACTGTGCAGAATGGCTTGGAATGTGATGGTAACCCCACTTTCGGATTCTACTGCCCAGACTATATGGTTCGATACAAGTGTGATTGTTCAGGTGAGATTTCTTTGCATGGACTTCTTATACTCTAATAACATGTAGTTTAACTGATATGCTCATGGTGACTGTAGTTTCTCTAGTTGTTAAGGAAGGAGTAGATAGGAAATTAGAATCAACAGTTAAACAATTTTTCAAATTTTTATCAGGACAATAATTTATTTGATATCAGTTACCTATTTTAAGAAATCCAATCTACTGTCATGATGTGTCATGAAGCCCTTAAATTCTCTCTATTTACCAAGCAAAAATAAAAAGAAAGCTGATGTGGGTGGGAAGGTATGTGTAAAATGTTCTTGTCAGCTGTCTGTCTGCTATATGTGCCCAATAAAAAAAGTGCTGAAAGAAGCAATGTATAAAGAGATAAAAAAAAGCCAAGTGAGTTATTGTTGTAAAAGTATTGCTGTGTTCAAACTACAGTAAAATTGTTATATACTGAAATGGGTTTCTTTGCTCTTTAAAACAATTTTGCGAACCTGAAATGGGTAACCACAATAGTGTTATAATGTCAGCCTTTTAGCGGTCATATTCTACTTTAAGTATAGCTATTTCTGCTGGGATAACTTTTGTTAACATGTCTTAGTGTCGAACAACCCATCTCAGAAACTGCCAGTAGTGACATTTATTTGATTCCCAAACTAATTTATATGAATATCCAGTTTTTAGATCTAACTTAAAGTCCTTTGCTGAAAACTAGAAAATTCTTATCTTTTCTGTAGGGCCACCCCTTGCAGCTACTTTGTATGTATGTATGTAGTATAGGGTTTTATGACTAAAGGCGTTCGTTTTGTTCAGTTTCTCTCATTAGTGCCCTTTGTTGTATTCATCCCTAACATCATGGTTTACAAGCTTTCAAAACTGAAACAGATCATGTCAGTAATATTAACCCCTTCCTTGCCCTTAAAAAGGTATGCCTTTTGTTAGGGTCATCATCATCATCATTGCCTTTCTCACCCTGCACCAGGGTATAGGCCACGGACAAACACCCCCCACTTTTCTCTATCCTGGGC